AAGATCAACAAAATAGACCACTAGCCAGATTAATAAAAAAGAAAAGAGAGAAGAATCAAATAGATGCAATAAAAAATGATAAAGGGGATATCACCACAGATTTCACAGAAATACAAACCACCATCAGAGATTACTACAAACAACTATATGCACATAAACCAGTAAACCTGGAAGAAATGGATAAATTCCTGGACACTTACACCCTCCCAAGCCTAAACCAGGAAGAAGTCAAAATCCTGAACACACCAATAACAAGGGCTGAAGTTGAGGCAGCAATTAATAGCTTACCAACCAAAAAAAGCCCAGGTCCAGATGGGTTCACAGCCAAATTCTACCAGACATACGAAGAGGGGCCAGTACCACTCCTTCTGAAACTATTCCAAACAATCTAAAAAGAGGAAATCCTCCCCAAATCTTTTTATGAGACCAACATCATCCTGATACCAAAACCTGGCAGAGACTCAACAAGAAAAGAAAACTTCAGGTCAACATCCATGATGAACATTGATGCAAAAATCTTCAATAAAATACTGGCAAATCGATTACAACAGCACATCAAAAAGCTTATCCACCATGATCAAGTAGGCTTCATCCCGGGAATGCAAGGCCGGTTCAACATACGCAAGTCTATAAACATGATTCACCACATAAACAGAACCAAAGACAAAAACCACATGATTATCTCAATAAATGCAGAGAAGGCCTTTGACAAAATTCAACAGCCCTTTATGTTAAAAACTCTCAATAAACTAGGTATCAATGAAACGTATCTCAAAATAATAAAAGCTATTTATGACAAACCCACAGCTAATATCGTACTGAATGGGCAAAAACCGGAAGCATTCCCTTTGAAAACTGGCACTAGACAAGGATGCCCTCTCTCACCACTCCTATTCAATACAGTATTGGAAGTTCTAGCCAGAGCAATCAGGCAAGAAAAAGAAATAAAGGGTATTCAATTAGGAAAGGAGGAAGTCGAACTGTCTCTATTTGCAGACAACATGATTGTATATTTAGAAGACCCAATTGTCTCAGCCCAAAACCTCTTGAAACTGATAAGCAACTTCAGCAAAGTCTCAGGATACAAAATCAATGTGCAAAAATCACATGCATTCCTATACACCAATAACAGACTTAAAGAGAGCCAAATCAAGAACGAACTGCCATTCACAATGGCTACAAAGAGAATAACATACCTAGGAATACAACTAACAAAGGATGTAAAGGACCTCTTCAAGAACTACAAACCACTGCTCAAGGAAATAAGAGAGGACACAAACAGATGGAGAAACATTCCATGCTCATGGTTAGGAGGACTGAATATCATGAAAATGACCATACTGCCCAAAGTAATTTATAGATTCAACGCTATCCTCATCAAGCCACCAATGACCTTCTTCACAGAACTAGAAAAAAACCACCTTAAGCTTCATATGGAACCAAAAGAGAGCCCTCATAGCCAAGTCAATTCTAAGCAAAAAGAACAAAGCTGGAGGCATCATGCTATCTGACTTCAAACTATACTACAAGGCTACGGTAATCAAAACAGCATGGTACTGGTACCAAAACAGAGATATAGACCAGTGGAACAGGACAGAAGCCTTGTAGGCAATGCCACACATCTACAACCATCTGATCTTTGACAAACCTGACAAAAACAAGGAATGGGGAAAGGATTCCTTGTTTAATAAATGGTGTTGGGAAAACTGGCCAGCCATGTGCAGAAAGCAGAAACTGGGCCCCTTCCTAATACCTTACACTAAAATTAACTCCAGATGGATTAAAGACTTAAGCATAAGACCTAACATCATAAAACCCTTAGAAGAAAACCCAGGCAAAACCATTCAGGACATAGGCACAGGCAAGGACTTCATGACTAAAACACCAAAAGCATTGGCAACAGACGCCAAAATAGACAAATGCGATCCAATTAAACTCCAAAGCTTCCACACAGCAAAAGAAACAATCATCAGAGTGAACTGGCAACCAACAGAATGGGAAAAAATTTTTGCAACCTACTCATCTGACAAAGGACTTATATCCAAAATCTACAAAGAACTAAAACAGATTTACAAGAAAAAAAAAAAAAAAACAAACAAACCCATTCAAAAGTGGGCAAAGGATATGAACAGACACTTTTCAAAAGAAGACATATATGAGGCCAACAAACATATGAAAAAATGCTCATCATCACTGGTCATTAGAGAAATGCAAATCAAAACAACATTGAGATACCATCTCATGCCAGTTAGAATGGCGATCATTAAAAAATCTGGAGACAACAGATGCTGGAGAGGATGTGGAGAAATAGGAACACTTTTACACTGTTGGTGGGAGTGTAAATTAGTTCAACCATTGTGGAAGACAGTGTGGCGATTCCTCAAGGACCTAGAAATAGAAATTCCATTTAACCCAGCAATCCCATTACTGGGTATATATCCAAAGGATTATAAATCATTCTATTATAAGGACACATGCACAGGCATGTTCATTGTGGCACTGTTTACAATAGCAAAGACCTGGAACCAACCTAAATGCCCAACGATGATAGACTGGACAGGGAAAATATGGCACATATACACCATGGAATACTATGCAGCCATAAAAAATGATGAGTTCATGTCCTTTGTAGGGACATAGATGAACCTGGAAACCATAATTCTCAGCAAATTGACACAGGAACAGAGAATCAAGCACCGCATGTTCTCACTCGTAGGCGGGTGTTGAACAATGAGAACACACGGACACAGGGAGGGGAGCATCACACACTGGGGTCTGTTGGGGAGGGACAGTGGTGGGTAGGGAGTTGGGGAGGGATAATACGGGGAGAAATGCCAGATATATGTGATGGGGACAGAGGCAGCAAACCATATGGCCATGTATGTACCTATGCGACAATCCTGCATATTCTTTACATATACCCCAGAACCTAAAATGCAATAAAAAATACATATATATATTTAAAAAACAAATAGGTTCGGCTGGGTGTGGTGGCTCAAGCCTGTAATCCCAGCACTTTGGGAGGCAGAGGTGGGTGGATCACGAGGTCAAAAGATCGAGACCATCCTGATCAACATGGTGAAACCCCATCTCTACTAAAAATACAAAAAATTAGCTGGGCATGGTGGCGTGTGCCTGTAATCCCAGCTACTCAGGAGGCTGAGGAAGGAGAATTGCCTGAACCCAGGAGGTGGAGGTTGCGGTGAGCCGAGATCGCACCATTGCACTCCAGCCTGGGTAACAAGAGCGAAACTCCGTCTCAAAAACAAAAAACAAAAAACAAAAAACAAAACAAAACAAAAAAAAACAAACAGGTTCAAAATCCGTAAGTTTATAATGATACTCAAAAAAAGGAAGGTGATAGATTTGCTGATGATCCTGATTTGATTATTACACATTGTACACATGTACTGAAATATAATACTGTACCTGATAAATATGTGCAACTATTATGTGTCAATTACAGGCAACTTATTTGCTATATTTTCCTTGTTTTAAAAAAAAAAATTATTTGAGATGGAGTTTCTCTCTTGTTGCCCAGCCTGAAGTGCAATGGCATGATCTCGGCTCACTGCAACCTCTGCCCCTAGGGTTCAAGTGATTCTCCTGCCTCAGCCTCCCAAGTAGCTAGGATTACAGGCATATGCCACCACATCTAGCTTATTTTTTATATTTAGTAGAGATGGGGTTTTACCATGTTGGTCAGGCTGGTCTCGAACTCCTGACCTCATATGATCCACCCGCCTCAGTCTTCCAAAGTGCTAGGATTACAGGGATGAGCCACCCCGCCCAGCCAGTTTTTTAAAATAAGTAGGTATTATGGAGCCATCCTTGGGTCAAGACAGTAACAATAGTAGCAATCTTTTTATGATACTTATTATCAAATTGTATACTTTAAGTATGTGCAGTTTATGTTATGTAATTTATATTTCAATAAAGAGAGAGAGAAAGAAAGGAGAGGCGGGGAGAGGGAAGGGGAGGGGAGGAGAAGGAAGGGGAGGGGAGGGAGGGAGGAAGGAAGGAAGGAAGGAAGGAAGGAAGGAAGGAAGGAAGGAGAAAAAAAGGGGGAGGGAGAGAGGGAGGGAAAAGGAAAATTTCATTACATTGCCTTTGAGCATGTTAGGACACCAATTCATTATTTTGAAAATGGATAAATAAAGGAAAAGAATCAAGCAAAAAAAAAAAAAAAAAAAAAAAGAACACAATTTAGCCGTATTCTCTGGTACTTTATAACAAGGATTGCTATTCTCCCAGCTTGCAATAATATGTTCCTTATTTCGATCTGAGATCTCACCAAAAGTACCTTTAACATTCATGTTTCTACCAATAGTCTGGTTAAGGCCATCTAGGCTTTTTCTGCCAAGCATATCAAAACCTAGCCCCTTCAATCCAGCCTCTACCTGTTACCCAATTCCAAAGCCACTTTCACATTTTTAAGGTATTTATCACAGCAGCACCCCATTTTCAAGTATAAAACTCCGTATTCGTTTCCTAGGGCTGTTAAAGTACCACAAACTAGGGGGCTCAAAACAACAGAAATTTATTGTCTCACAGTTTTGGGGCCAGAACTCCAAAACCCCAAGGTGTTAGCAGGGTCATGATCTCTTTGAAGGTGCTAGGGAAGGAACTGTTCCAGGCCTCTCTTAGCTTCTGGTGGCCTCAAGTGTTCCTTTGCTTACAGATGTATCATTCTAGTCACATTCCATCTTCTCCCTGTGTATCTTCATATTGCCTTCCCCGTGTGTGTGTGTGTGTGTGTGTGTGTGTGTGTGTGCGCGCGTGTGTGTGTCCAGTTTTCCCCTTTTTATAAGGACACCAATTATATTAGATTAAGGCCCACCCTAAAGACTCTATTTCCAAATAAGGTCTTTAAGCAGCCAAGAGAAACCAGGTTGTGCTTTCTGGGGGGCTGGGGGTTAAGACTTTAACATATTTCATTTGGAGGACACAATTTAACCCATAACAGGCTCCTCACAACTTCATAGGATGGTTGCCCTTACCCACTGACAGCAGGTGGCTGTAGTTCTCCAACATTACATCCTGGTACAGGCGTCTTTGAGTAGAGTCCAGTTGCTGCCACTCTTCTCTACTGAAGTCCACAGTCACATCCTCAAATGACACTGATACCTGTAACAACACAGTCTTGTTCAAGGCAACATGATCAGCACTGGAGGATGGGGAGAAGACCGATAGGAAGTTGTTTTTAATACTTTTTCATCATAATATACCATATGGTATGCCCATTAAATACTTAGTTTAAATATATACACATATATAATATTGTGTAGAATATAAAAAAATCTAATCACAAATTCCTGCTATTCATTATGTATGACACTTAGTCTTCCATTTATTAAAAATGATAATTTTTAGCAAGGATTTGACCTTGATCCTATTTTGTTACTCGTTTTTATGAGAAATTTGTGCTCTATAACTTTTAGAAGGAAGCACATATATCTCCTCCATCCCAATTTTTAAAAATTTCACATAGCTCCCTCTCCTGTTGTTTTCATTTACTCTTGAAAAATATGATCTTTTTGTCTTAATGCCTTTTTATTGGTCATTTCTAATTTGATTCTGTGGTGGTCAGAAAGTATACTCTGTGTGATTTCAACATATGGTCTATCTAGGAGAATGTTTCCATGTTTCCCTGAAAAGAATATATATTTGGGTATTGATGGCTTTAGTGTTCTGTAATATGTAAATCAAGTTGGTTGAATGTTGTTGAAATTTCCTGTTGCATCACTGATTTGTTTTCTACGGGTTTAATCACTTATTTGTCAAGATTTTGGTAAAAATTTGATAAAATGTTAACATTTATATGGCTATGCAAAGGACCCGGAATAGTCAAAAGCAAGAAAAAGTATGAAGGATTTATACCCCTTAATGTTAAGATATACTGTAAAGCTACAGTAATTTAAGCAGTATGGGATGATGTAAGCACAGACAGACATATCATTATAACAGAATAAAGTCCAGAAACAAACCCACACATACACAGACAATTTTTTTTTTGACAAAGGTGCCAATGAGATTCAATGAGCAAAAGGGAAGTCTTTTAAACACATTGTGCTGGAAGGGGTAGATATCAGTATTAGGAAAAAACCACGAACCTTGACCCACACCTCACGCCATATACAAAAATTAACGAAAATTAAGTTTCAGTATGACTGCATTGCTTTTATCAGACCAACCTTCATACAGATAACAACTATAAACTCTGAGCAAAAAATATTTTAAAAACTATCTAAAGATACTAAGGAGCAACCCAAGTCAGGCTGTACTTGAAGGAGAGCTGACACTTAGAAGAGAGGTTGGCACTTTAGCTTGTGAATAGGCCCAGTCAGTGCCATGTGGGGTAGCTAAAATTCCAAGAGAAGTGGTGCATGCCTATGGTCCTGGCTACTTGGGAGGCTGAGGTGGGAGGACTGATTAAACCTGGGAGGTTAAGGCTGCAGTGAGCTATGATTGTGCCACTGCACTCCAGCCTGGGCGACAGAGCCAGACCCTACCTGAAAAAAAAAAAAAAAAAAAAAAAAAGAGAGAGACAGAGAAGAAAAGAAAACCACTTGTTGTTGCCTTGAAGAATCAAAGGGGAGTTCTACAGTCATCACTACCCCTGGAAAATCCAGGTAGTGGGGTTTCCAGAAAGGCATTGAAAGCGAGAAGGGTGCCTAAATTCTGTGGATGAAGTCTGCCCAAATCTCTGGTTGACCAGCTAAATGAACTGAAACTTGAGCTACCACATACCACAGAGAAAACTAGTACCTAGTTTGATCCAGGCATGTTAAGTGCTTCTTACAAAGCAAAACAAAAAATCAGCACTATTCAGAGGAATTAAACAGAATCAAGCATCTCTAATATATGTTTCACAACAAAAACACAATCCAAAACAACTTAACAGAGAGACAGAAAGGTGTGGAGTGAAAGGGAAGAGGCTCAAGAGAAAATGCACTCAGAGACTGACCTGAGGTGATCTAGATGCTAGAATTAGCAGAAAAGTGCTTTAAATCAGTTAGTTATAATTATGCTCAAAACATACAAATATGTTCATAACAAATGAATAAATAGGATAGGCCAACTGCGAAATATAAACTATTAAAAAAACTGAAAAATACCATCTGAAACTAAAAAGTTCACTGGATGGGCTTAACAGAAGAATAGAGATAACTGAAGAAAGAGGTAATTAACTTAAAGACAGACCAACAGAAATTATCCAATCTGAAAAGCAGTGATAATCAAATTGAAAATAAAAACAAATAGAGTCTCAGGGATGATGCTATGGTTTGAATGTTTGTGATCCCTCCAAAATTCATGTTTAAACTAAATCCTAACGCAACAATATTAAGAGGTATGGCCTTTGGGAGGTATTTAGGTCATGAGGGCTCGTGAATGGATTAGGAGTGTTCTTTTTTTTTTTTTTTTTTTTTTTTTTTGAGACAGAGTTTCGTTCTTGTTACCCAGGCTGGAGTGCAATGGCGCGATCTCGGCTCACCGCAACCTCCGCCTCCTGGGTTCAGGCAATTCTCCTGCCTCAGCCTCCTGAGTAGCTGGGATTACAGGCACGCACCACCATGCCCAGCTAATTTTTTGTATTTTTAGTAGAGTCGGGGTTTCACCATGTTGACCAGGATGGTCTCGATCTCTTGACCTCGTGATCCACCCGCCTCTGCCTCCCAAAGTGCTGGGATTACAGGCGTGAGCCACCGTGCCCAGCAGGAGTGTTCTTTTAAAAGGGCTTGGGGGAACTAGCTATGTCCTTCCTTTTTGACCTTCCACCCTTTCCACCATGTAAGGACACAGAATTCGCCCCTTCTGGAGGACACAGCAACAAGGTGCCATCTTGGAAGCAGACAGCAGCCTTCACTGGATACCTAAGTTGCTTGTGTGTTTATCTTGCACTTCTCAGCCTCCAGAACGGTGAGAAATAAATGTCTATTGTTTATAAGATACCCAGTCTCAGGGATGTTGTTATAGTAGGACAAACAGACTAAGACAGATGAGTAAGACAAAAATCAAAAGATCTAACATACATGCCATTTAACACCCAGAAGGAGAGAAGGGCAGAAAAGACATTTTTAAATATAATGTGCAGACATATATACCATGGACTACTATGTAGCCATAAAAAAGGATGAGTTCATGTCCTTTGCAGGGACATGGATAAAGCTGGAAACCATCATTCTCAGCAAACTAACATAAGAACAGAAAGGATATCTTTGCAACCTTGACATAAGCATGGATTTCTTAACACAGTACAAAAAGCCCCAAGCATAAAAGAAAAGCTTCAAAAACTGGATCTTATCAAAATTAAAACTTCTGCTCATCAAAAGACACTATTGAGAAAATGAAAAGTCAAGCCACAGCCTGGGAGAAAATATTTACAATACATACACAAAACACCCGTATTAAGAATGTAGAAAGAACTCCTAGAAAGTAATAAGAAAATGACACATAGCCCAATTTTTCTAATGGGAAAAATACTTGATCAGACACAAAAAAGATACACAAATGGCCAATAAAGCACATGAAAAGATGTTCACCATCATTCGTTATAAGGGAAATGCAATTTAAGCTGTATCGAGAAAGCACTAGACACTCACTAGAAACGCTAAAATTAAAAAGACACTCAAAAATTGCTGGTAGGAAAGTAAAACCAAGCCACCACTTTGGAAACTTGTTTGACAATTTCTTTTCTTTTCTTCTTTCTTCTTTTTTTGAGACAGAGTCTTCCTCTGTCACCCAGGCTGGAGACAGTGGTGTGATCTTAGCTCACTGCAACCTTCGCCTTCCAGGTTCGAGTGATTCTTGTGCTTCAGCCTCCTTAGTAGCTGGGATTACAGGCATGTGCCACCATACCTGGCTAATTTTTGTATTTTTAGTAGAGACAGAGTTTCACCATGTTGGCCAGGCTGGTCTTGAACTCCTGGCCTCAAGTGATCTGTCCACTTCAGCCTCCCAAAGTGCTGGGATTACAGGCCTGAGCCTGAACTTGTTTTACAGTTTCTAATAAAGTTAAGCATATATCCACCACATAATCTAGCAATTCCATTTCTTGGTAGTTAATAAAAAGAAATGAAAACATACATACTCAGAAAACTTCTATAAGAATGCCCATAGCAGGCTTGATTCATGATAATAAAAAACTAGACACATTCCACAAGTGTTCATCAACACATTAATGTCTACACAGATTGTAGTGTCTTCATACAATGGAATACTCAGCAACAAAAAAGAAACTATCTTACAAGTGCATAATACCCAGCATTTATTGGTGCACCATCTGATTAATTATGTATCAGCATTATTACCCAATCGTAATCTTCTGCTTGGAAGATGCAATCTCCGAAAACCTGCTACTGTTTTACCAGATCCTGGTCAAATAGATGATCACGAGTGTACAACAGTAATAGAAGATACTAGGCAGCAAGCAACCTGAGTTTTCTGATATTCCTGTTCAAAATGCATATTTGATAAGGTTTACTGAGGGGCATACACCTGGGATGAGAAGGTTCACCTCCAGGCGTCTAACACTGTGGCAACTGCTCAGGAAATCTAGAACACTTATGTCTTGCCTGGAATTAAATCAGCACAAGCAGCCAAGCTAATGGCAGCTACTAGGGATCTACAATTCTTGGTTTGGGAATTAAAGTGAATCTATATACTGACAACAAATATGTGTTTGGTGTCTGTCATATAATAGGGAAAATTTGAAAAAATAGGGCATTCTTGACTTCATGGGAACCAAAATATCTCATGGAAAATTAATATCTGAGTTGTTAGAGGCTTCACAACTGCTGAGTCAGATAGCAATAACCCACTGTAGAGACCGCATAGCGCAGAACAACAAAATTGCTAAAGGCAATGATTCTGCTGGTACAGCTGCAAAAGCTACTGTTAAAACACAGCCGACACCCAGCTCAGACGTCCCAATTCTAATACAAGATACTTTCATTTATTCTCAAAAATATGCATTCCAAAAGAAAATGAGCAAATGGATTAAGGAAGGGGGCTCTACCACGGGAATTAGCTAACCATGTAGTTCCTACTCCTTGGTCTTTATTTATTTGGTTAGTATTGCGTTAGCAACAAAATCAGCTACATAAAAGATGGATTTTAAAGGCATC